GGGTGCTTAAATTTGCTTGAATTTGACGTTTTGAAATGTAAGTCCTGGAAAACCCTTGAAACGGCCATATTTATGAAGAGGTGCTTGAAAAGCGCTTGAATTATTGAAAGACAATATATGTGAAAGTAGTGTTTAATTTTATCGATAAAGCAATCGTTTCACACAAAATCAACCCGTCTGATATAGATATAGAGCAGTTTCACATGACTATGAGTGTGATATTGCTCATTAATATCCAAGTATATGATACATCTTTCATTCTTCAGCTCAATCATATATTCATGAGAATAAATCAGTTGAATAAGGAAAGCGATATCTTTGTCATCGTATCCTTTCAGTGGTTAAAGTTCCACAGTCACTGCATCCGCTGCACTTTATTTGTACCGGTTTGTTTTATTAGTTTATTTTTGTTTATATATTTACCTTTTTAGAATTTGAAAGATAATACAGATATTGTCTGATAAGTGAGATCTCTGATTATAGTCCTTGAAAACCAAAAAAGTAGTGCTTGAAAAGTCCTTGAATTTCATTTTACAGTGTGTGTACGAACCCTGCTTGCAGTTTATTATCTGCTCATACGCTGAATTAATATCCTTCCGTGTCTGCTATTCCGTCTCATCTTCATCTGAACAATGGCTTGTGCACTTGGGAACTCATTTATGGGTGTTGATAATTGATGGCTCTGCGTTCGCTCTCTCTCCAGGCCACGACGCCCATGTTTCGCGAGTACATCGCTCAGGTTCTGAAGAACTCCAAGGCCATGGCCGACGCGCTGCTGAAGAAGGGCTTCACACTCGTCTCCGGTGGGTTTTTACACTGAAGTCAAGCTTCTCTTTCAGGGGTCGGAAAATGACTTGATTATCTGACTGTATGAAGACTCACCGATCAAAAAAAACATGTGGAAAAAGCTCTAGTTCTTCTCTATATCAGTGTCAGTGTTTCTGAACTCCTGAAACGCCTCCATTAGTCTTGAGTTTCATCCGGGAACGAACACGTCACAACATTCCTCATTATAATAATTCATGCGCAGAATAAAGGGGCGGGGCCTGGTTGAGTTAGTTAGTAGTGTGTTAAACTGGCGGTTATGGAAAGGGGCGGGACATTTCCCAAACACACTCGAAGCGCTCGACCAATCACAACACACTGATCCAGCCGTCCAATCAGAGCACAGTGGTGTCAAATTTCACATCTTTTTGCTATACTGTTATATGTGCTGAATTGTGGATGAAGAAGAAAACTAACAGATACAATAGGTGTCTTTGTACCTTCGGTTCTTGGCCACTATATATTAAAATGAGGATGTTTTTATTAGCAATGTGAAATTGATCACTTAAAGTCCCCCTGTAGTCGATCATTTATCCCTTAAAACTCATCTTTGATCACCAAAATGACACATTTAAGCGTTTTTTCCTTGAAAAAAAATGTCTTCATACCTTAAAATATCTCGAATGTAACTCGACAACCTTGCCTCATTTAGTATGCGCGGCTCTATGAATATGCAAATGAGCCCGCCTCCACTCACTCCCTCAGCTCAGAGATCCACTGGTTGGCGATCACATGTTGATCTGATTGGTTACAAGGTCGTTTGTGACGTCAGAAACACCAGCGATTTCAAACCGTGTTTTTGAGACTGTCTTTGGTTCACTGCAGTTTTAAGGAGGAAATACTCAGCAATGCTGTCGACTTATGAACTTACACATGGTGTGTCTTAAAGCGTATTAATAACACCACATAGACACATAAACAACATTAAAAGCTGGAGTTTTACCACAGGGAAGTCACTCAAACACATTTAGACTCTTCCACCTAAAGCAAAAGAGTTCATTTATTCAGTTCTTTCCACAGTTTAATAATCATTTCTGATGTTTATTATTCTCAGTCTTCAGCTGCTAATTTCCTCATTATAAGCAGCAGCATTTCACAGAAACACTCTCTTAGTTCCAGGTGAAGCCAAATCACTTTTATTGAAGAATAAACCAGCAGAACGAATGTTTGACTGACTCTGTGTGAAGTTTGGAAGATTTTAATTGTCTTTAATTATGTTTTTGTGCGTTCGGGGCGTTTGCTGTGAACATTGCTGTTGTTCGTTCGGTGCGAACAGCCCTTCCCCCTGTGGTGAACATCCAGCCTTTTCAATGTTGTTTATGTGTCTATGTGGTGTTATTAATACGCTTTAAGACAAACCATGTGTAAATTCATAAGACGACAGCATTGCTGAGTATTTCCTCCGTGTGAAATCAAGCCGTGAATCAGCTGTAGTTTTCTCCGACACATATGCAAAACTAATTGAAAGCCTGTATGTTTCTCTACGCAGCTGTTCGCTCTTTATATCCCCACACATGTTGTTGTGCTTCCGCTCTGTGTCTAAAGCAGCTGCGATTCATTTTCACCTGGTTTAATATTGAGAGACGACGATCCAAACTCATGACATCAAAACTGAATCAGTTTGCACTAACGGACTAAACATTTCCAGGTTCTCAGAAGCAGAAGTCGTCATGGTTTGGTGAACTTCTATACAGAAGAATGGAAACTACAAGTACAATTTTAAAGAGAAATCCATGATAGCATTTCTATGACTTTACGTTTACGTTGATCAAAAAAGAGAAATGTCACATTTACACTCACACTGCAGTGTTAACTAGTCTCCTGTTATTTAATGCCAAGATAATATCACACAAAGTATGGAATAATTAGAATATTGTGCAAAAGTTTCAGTAATTCAGCTTAAAAAGGTGAAACTAATATATTATATAGACTCATTACATGCAAAGTGAAATATTTCAGGCCTTTATTTGTTATAATTTTGATGATTATGGATTACAGCTTATGAAAACCTTTCACAATATTCTAATTTTGAATTTGGGGTTTTCATAAGCTGTAAGCCATAATCACAATTATAACAAATAAAGGCTTGAAATATCTCACTTTGCATGTAATGAGTCTATATAATATATTATTTTCACCTTTTAAGTTGAATTACTGAAATAAATGAAATTTTGCACCATATTCTAATTTTTCCAGTTTCACTAGTGCTATAAATGGACTTTGCGTTTTTTTACAAATGAAAAACCTTGCTAGATTTATGATGTTAATAACTGTGGAAATACATCATTACAGTCTGTGAAAAGGGTCCGTTAATGTCTCTGCTCTTATTGTTGAAGAATCATCAGGGCCGTTATTCTAAAGAAATAGTCTAATAATCTAATAACTTCTGAAGCGGCTTTTCATGACGTCATCCACCTTAATATAGGGACAGTTTTACAATTCAATCAGTTCATCAGGGAGAAAATCAAGTCTCCTGTATCAAAATTGGAAATAAAATGAGTATTGAAAATGTTTTGGCTTTGTAAACACTGGGTCTGTTCTTACGCCTACGTCACGCTTGACCTTTCACCCTGATGATGTAATGTGTGTCGCATCACAGCTCGTGCAAGACCAGCATTAGTGGCTAAAAGTATATAAATGTGTATTTTGTTATAAATGTCGGCTGGTTTGTCTAGATCAGACTCTTATTCCTCGGCTGGATCGTGTTGAGACTTTGAAGCTGCACTGAAAGTCACATCTGGACCTTCGACCCGTTGGACCCCATTAAAGTCACTATATGAAGAAACCCTGGAGTGTGTTCCTCAAAAACCTTCATTTCTTTTCCACTGAAGAAAGAAAGACATGAACATCTTGGATGACGTGGAGGAGAGGAAATGATCGGGAAATGTTAATTCTGAAGTGAACTGATCCTTTAAGTGTCTTTTGAAGTGACCCAAGAACTCTATTGACTGAGTGTTTGTGTTGTGCATGTTCAGGAGGAACCGATAATCATCTGGTTCTGGTGGATCTGAGGCCTCTGGGAATGGACGGAGCGCGTGCGGAACGAGTTCTGGAACTGGTGTCCATCACGGCCAACAAGAACACGTGTCCCGGAGACAAGAGCGCGCTCACGCCCGGTGGCCTTCGACTGGGTGAGGAACACGACACATGCTCAAACAAAGCTGTGTTTACACTCAAAGTTACAAATTTAACTTGGAATATTGCATAAATCACGAGTGTGTCGAGCGTCATCATGAACGAGTGTGTGTCGAGCGTCATCATGAGCGAGTGTGTGTCGAGCGTCATCATGAACGAGTGTGTGTCGAGCGTCATCATGAACGAGTGTGTGTCGAGCGTCATCATGAACGAGTGTGTGTCGAGCGTCATCATGAACGAGTGTGTGTCGAGGGTCATCATGAACGAGTGTGTCGAGCGTCATCATGAACGAGTGTGTGTCGAGCGTCATCATGAACGAGTGTGTGTCGAGCGTCATCATGAACGAGTGTGTGTCGAGCGTCATCATGAACGAGTGTGTCGAGGGTCATCATAAACGAGTGTGTGTCGAGCGTCATCATGAACGAGTGTGTGTCGAGCGTCATCATGAACGAGTGTGTGTCGAGCGTCATCATGAACGAGTGTGTGTCGAGCGTCATCATGAACGAGTGTGTGTCGAGCGTCATCATAAACGAGTGTGTGTCGAGCGTCATCATGAACGAGTGTGTGTCGAGCGTCATCATGAACGAGTTGTGTGTCGAGCGTCATCATGAACGAGTGTGTGTCGAGCGTCATCATGACCGAGTGTGTGTCGAGCGTCATCATGAACGAGTGTGTGTGTCGAGCGTCATCATGAACGAGTGTGTGTCGAGCGTCATCATGAACGAGTGTGTATCGAGCGTCATCATGAACGAGTGTGTGTCGAGCGTCATCATGAACGAGTGTGTGTCGAGCGTCATCATGAACGAGTGTGTGTCGAGCGTCATCATGAACGAGTGTGTGTCGAGCGTCATCATGAACGAGTGTGTGTCGAGCGTCATCATGAGCGAGTGTGTGTCGAGCGTCATCATGAGCGAGTGTGTGTCGAGCGTCATCATGAACGAGTGTGTGTCGAGCGTCATCATGAACGAGTGTGTGTCGAGCGTCATCATGAGCGAGTGTGTGTCGAGCGTCATCATGAACGAGTGTGTGTCGAGCGTCATCATGAACGAGTGTGTGTCGAGCGTCATCATGAACGAGTGTGTGTCGAGCGTCATCATGAACGAGTGTGTGTCGAGCGTCATCATGAACGAGTGTGTGTCGAGCGTCATCATGAACGAGTGTGTGTCGAGCGTCATCATGAACGAGTGTGTGTCGAGCGTCATCATGAACGAGTGTGTGTCGAGCGTCATCATGAGCGAGTGTGTGTCGAGCGTCATCATGAACGAGTGTGTGTGGAGCGTCATCATGAACGAGGTGTGTCGAGCGTCATCATGAACGAGTGTGTGTCGAGCGTCATCATGAACGAGTGTGTGTCGAGCGTCATCATGAACGAGTGTGTGTCGAGCGTCATCATGAACGAGTGTGTGTCGAGCGTCATCATGAGCGAGTGTGTGTCGAGCGTCATCATGAACGAGTGTGTGTCGAGCGTCATCATGAACGAGTGTGTGTCGAGCGTCATCATGAACGAACGAGTGTGTGTCGAGCGTCATCATGAGCGAGTGTGTGTCGAGAGTCATCATGAACGAGTGTGTGTCGAGCGTCATCATGAACGAGTGTGTGTCGAGCGTCATCATGAACGAGTGTGTGTCGAGCGTCATCATGAACGAGTGTGTGTCGAGCGTCATCATAAACGTGTGTGTGTCGAGCGTCATCATGAACGAGTGTGTCGAGAGTCATCATGAACGAGTGTGTGTCGAGCGTCATCATGAACGAGTGTGTCGAGCGCCATCATGAACGAGTGTGTGTCGAGCGTCATCATGAACGAGTGTGTCGAGCGTCATCATGAACGAGTGTGTGTCGAGCGTCATCATGAACGAGTGTGTGTCGAGCGTCATCATGAACGAGTGTGTCGAGCGTCATCATGAACGAGTGTGTCGAGCGTCATCATGAGCGAGTGTGTGTCGAGCGTCATCATGAACGAGTGTGTGTCGAGCGTCATCATGAGCGAGTGTGTGTCGAGCGTCATCATGAACGAGTGTGTGTCGAGCGTCATCATGAACGAGTGTGTGTCGAGCGTCATCATGAACGAGTGTGTGTCGAGCGTCATCATGAACGAGTGTGTGTCGAGCGTCATCATGAGCGAGTGTGTGTCGAGCGTCATCATGAGCGAGTGTGTCGAGCGTCATCATGAGCGAGTGTGTGTCGAGCGTCATCATGAACGAGTGTGTGTCGAGCGTCATCATGAACGAGTGTGTGTCGAGCGTCATCATGAGCGAGTGTGTGTCGAGCGTCATCATGAGCGAGTGTGTCGAGCGTCATCATAAACGAGTGTGTGTCGAGCGTCATCATAAACGAGTGTGTGTCGAGCGTCATCATGAGCGAGTGTGTGTCGAGCGTCATCATGAACGAGTGTGTGTCGAGCGTCATCATGAGCGAGTGTGTGTCGAGCGTCATCATGAGCGAGTGTGTGTCGAGCGTCATCATGAGCGAGTGTGTGTCGAGCGTCATCATAAACGAGTGTGTGTCGAGCGTCATCATAAACGAGTGTGTGTCGAGCGTCATCATGAGCGAGTGTGTGTCGAGCGTCATCATGAACGAGTGTGTGTCGAGCGTCATCATGAGCGAGTGTGTCGAGCGTCAACATAAACGAGTGTGTGATAAAGACGAGCCCACCAGCTCGCCTTCGGGGAGAAATGTGAGTCCGTGAACGGATGTAAAGGATGGCGCACTCGCAGAAACACTTCGTGCAAGGTGGAATTTATTTACAGGGCCAATAAGAAGACCGTCCACAGTGAAGTATATTTACAGGTGCCCACAAAAGAAAAGAAAATAAAAAAAACCTAAAAAGTATAACAACAGAAAAACAAAGACGAAAAACTCTTTTAAAAAAAAACGTATCTACAGCACACAAAGGTTTTTCTTGCTTGAGGCACCACAGTTGCACTCTCGCTTCCGACTTGGTTAACAAGTCCTGACTTTAGGTTTGGCCTTGGCTTAAATAGGCCAAACCCCGCCCGTTTTTGGGCCAGACCAATTCCCGGAACATATAACAGTTAATACATATACAAATACTTCATCTATTTGATTATCCATAATAATTAATTCCCAATATATATATATATATATACACTCACCGGCCACTTTATTAGGTACACCTGTCCAACTGCTCGTTAACACTTAATTTCTAAGCAGCCAATCACATGGCGGCAACTCAGTGCATTTAGGCATGTAGACATGGTCAAGACAATCTCCTGCAGTTCAAACCGAGCATCAGTATGGGGAAGAAAGGTGATTTGAGTGACTTTGAACGTGGCATGATTGTTGGTGCCAGAAGGGCTGGTCTGAGTATTTCAGAAACTGCTAATCTACTGGGATTTTCACGCACAACCATCTCTAGGGTTTACAGAGAATGGTCCGAAAAAGAAAAAACATCCAGTGAGCGGCAGTTCTGTGGGCGGAAATGCCTTGTTGATGCCAGAGGTCAGAGGAGAATGGCCAGACTGGTTCGAGCTGATAGAAGGGCAACAGTGACTGAAATAACCACTCGTTACAACCGAGGTATGCAGCAAAGCATTTGTGAAGCCACAACACGCACAACCTTGAGGCGGATGGGCTACAACAGCAGAAGACTCCACCGGGTACCACTCATCTCCACTACAAATAGGAAAAAGAGGCTACAATTTGCAAGAGCTCACCAAAATTGAACAGTTGAAGACTGGAAAAATGTTGCCTGGTCTGATGAGTCTCGATTTCTGTTGAGACATTCAGATGTTAGAGTCAGAATTTGGCGTAAACAGAATGAGAACATGGAACCATCATGCCTTGTTACCACTGTGCAGGCTGGTGGTGGTGGTGTAATGGTGTGGGGGATGTTTTCCTGGCACACTTTAGGCCCCTTAGTGCCAATTGGGCATCGTTTAAATGCCACGGCCTACCTGAGCATTGTTTCTGACCATGTCCATCCCTTTATGGCCACCATGTACCCATCCTCTGATGGCTACTTCCACCATGTCACAAAGCTCTAATCATTTCAAATTGGTTTCTTGAACATGACAATGAGTTCACTGTACTAAAATGGCCTCCACAGTCACCAGATCTCAACCCAATAGAGCATCTTTGGGATGTGGTGGAACGGGAGATTCGCATCATGGATGTGCAGCCGACAAATCTGCGGCAACTGTGTGATGCCATCATGTCAATATGGACCAAACTCCCTGAGGAATGCTTCCAGCACCTTGTTGAATCTATGCCACGAAGAATTGAGGCAGTTCTGAAGGCAAAAGGGGGTCCAACCCGTTACTAGCATGGGGTACCTAATAAAGTGGCCGGTGAGTGTATATATATATATATATATATATATATATATATATATATATATATATATATATATATATATATATATAATAATAGTGTGTTATATATAATAATAGTGTGTATAATAAAGAATAGTTTATTCTTTATTATTAATATATAATAAAGAATACGTCTACTTGCACCACACTATTATTAATATATATAATAATAGTGTGTAATAAAATATATATATATATATATATATATATATATATATATATATATAATAATAAACACATAAACCATTCACACATAATCCACTTAACACATAATTTTTCCATTCAAATACCCACAGGAACACCTATTCACACTAGACAATGGTTTCGTCAGCTTCCGGTTTCGATTCGCCGGCGCGACCCGGCCATGACATCATAAATGGCCGCCACTCGATCGTTCGGTTCGGCCGGCTAAACTTTCCCGCCGGAGGACTGACTACGCCCACACAGACAAACAACACAGAGGCGAAACAACAAGACAGTGCAGTGTAAGTGTATGAAATGACCGGGAAATTAATATGGAAGGGAGAGTGGAGAAATGGAAGAATGTCCATGTGCTATCAGCATCGCGTGTGCACCCGCTCCGATGATAGCGGCAAAGGCAGGGAGGATCGACGTGAACGAGGTCAGTATGTATGTGCGTATATATGTGTGTATGTGTGTGTGCC